AGCCTGCTGAGCGCCCGGCCGGACAGGCGGACGCGCCCTGGCGGCGACTCGGTGGCCGCCACCACGAGCTCAGTCCGGCGCAGCTCAGTGCACTGCGTGACACCATGCGACTCATCGAGGACCTTCAGAGGTCCCCAAACTCGAGCAGCGTGCGGCTGCCTCGCCAGACGCTACCCACGCCGGTGTGTGTGCCCGGTCAGCGGTACCGCACCGCCAGCGGCTCCTGTAACCGCCTGGACCGTCCGCTGAGAGGTGCTGCCGGACAGGTTAGCTGCCGTTACACTCGGCACTCGAGACACTCGAGATGATTGCTTATGACTACATGGATTGCTTGGTTGACTTCATGGCATGATTGCTTAGTCCTTCCAGTATAGGTTCATGGAGTTTAAGATGCATCTGTCATCATGCATCAGGCGTTTGGCGTAGTCCAACATATTAGGTAAAAACTAGGCTTTTGCATAATGCGAAGGTTTTACGTACCTAACTTTCGTAAAATTACCGCTATTATCCTATCTGATCGACAGTTTAAGGCATAATTTGAAATGCCCAGATTTCGCGGCATTTTCCACGGTTAACATTCCTGCGCTGTTTGCCCGACCAATGTTTCATTTTAGCCATTTTACGAAACGTTAGAAGAACATGGGCGTTTCAAGAAAGGCCTGACTAGACTGAGCATAGATTGCGTCGTGTCGCTGTTTGTTTCTGTCTGATTGAATCGCCAATATTGTTTGCTGTGTCTAATTAGCTGCACTGACTCCCCATGCGTTAGTCCCGTGATACTCAACCGTTTCAAATGCACATTTTAGTTAGAGCAAGTCTTCCGGAGGTTGCCGGTACGTTGGAGTATATGCCGATAAGCACTGTAACCATGTAGCCAACGACGATCAGAAATCCATGAGTTTGCGGGAGGCATTTCTGAATGGCTCCGGTTCGCGTACAGGTCTTTACCAGGTGTGTTCGTCGGGCAGGGGCAGATCAGTGCAGCACCATGCACCTTAAGTGCCACACAGCGCATGCGATGCGTTTGTCTAGATGTCATGATTCAGCGCCCTGTGTCATCTAGTAGACTGTGACAAACTGTAAAACTTGTCAGTCCCACACACGCAAAATTTCGAAGAAGAACGTTGTTGCCTTCCATTAATGAGTACTGCCTGTGGAGCCATGAAATATTTGACAGCGTTTTCCGAAAACGCAGTAGCCGTTTTTTGCCTGCTTAGTTCAAACAGCTCGCAGAGATAACTGTTTGAGACTATTACTTCGCGCATTTTGTCAGAAAATTTTGCCTGCAACACCCTGCCACAACTCGTCAGCCAGACCAGGTAGAAGCGCGAATCCAATGTCATAGTGTCGACCAACGTGCCTTCCCCAATTCACCAGACCAAGACGAGTTTGTGCGACGTACGATCGCACCAGCAATCGTCGGACAAGCCGGGAATGCCGGCATATTAACAAGAACGCTGCCGAGTCCAGGCCGCTTGTCCGACGGTTGCTGCGTCGATTGCGGTTGTTTCCGACTATTGTTGCGAGGTTCGTGACGAAATTTACGTCACCGCATGCACAGAGTTATCGCTTGCATTTACCACCCGTTCCTCTGTCACTCTGTGCACAATCCCATGCAAATATCAACGTTACGTAAAGGCACGCAATCCCACGCTTCTGCATCGTCGAAATGCCGCTGGTTGATCACTCAGCCGGTCTTAGCTCAGCCACTGCCGGCAATATTTTAAAGTAAAACAATTAAACACACACGTGCCGAGTGCAGCTTTTCAGCCTTAGTTCGTTCATTCGTCGCGGCATGGAGGCGACGATTGAATGCATTGGTCAACACCATCGCTTTAAGAAATGTCAGAGACTCATGGCGAGTTATTAGAATAATTCTCAATGGGTGCGATGAGAGGATCCAGGAATTGCCGTTAGTTTTCGGCGAAGCCCGCTGTTACAGCACAACAGCACTCCCGCTGTCTTGACGGGTGTGTTTTGACATCACTGCAGAGTCTTAGTAAGCAGATCGTGGGCTTTGTGACATGAAAATGCCTCGAAATGATGCTTTCGAACGATGCGTTTTACACTTAAGTGTGCCTCGTCACCTTCGGCGCATGAATATGTGGCACGAAGTGATGCAAGCACAGATCGTCCATACAGAAAAGCGAGCCCGCGAACATTTGTAACGGTTTAAGTTTCAGTCAGATAGCGTAAATTACGGAATTTGCATGAAGAGCCGGCAAAATATAAAACGTCAGCTTTGGTCGTGAAATATCGGGTAACACTATCAGCACACGACAGATGTAGTTATGCACCTTGTCTACGGAAGGTGTGCACCTTCGTCCTACGTACAAAAGCGGATCACGTCGGCTATGTTGGAGAAAGGGCAAATGAATGTCCGGTAGGCCAATTCATGCTTAAGACAGGTGCCTCCCTGACAGTATGTTTTCTGTCATGGTGCTGTGTTAAGGTAGAAAATTCGGAAATCGTACCGCAGCGGGCGTCCCATCTGCATTATGCACCAATAAGTAGTGATCCCGATCGATAAACATGCAGCGAAACAGTCAGGCGGTCGGCTCGCGGTCAGTCATGCGGGGCGCGGCTGGTTCAGGGCAGTGGCTGCCGACGGCGGACGGCAGCAGGCTGGTTCCGGGCAGTGGCTGCCGACGGCGGACGGCAGCGGGCTGGTTCAGGGCAGTGGCTGCCGACGGCGGACGGCAGCAGGCTGGTTCAGGGCAGTGGCTGCCGACGGCGGACGGCAGCGGGCTGGTTCAGGGCAGTGGCTGCCGACGGCGGACGGCAGCGGGCTGGTTCAGGGCAGTGGCTGCCGATGGAGGACGGCAGCGGGCTGGTTCAGGGCAGTGGCTGCCGATGGAGGACGGCAGCGGGCTGGTTCAGGGCAGTGGCTGCCGATGGAGGACGGCAGCAGCGCTCAGACAATAGATATATGAAAGAACGGCCTTCATTCTGAAACTAGGCTGTTTACGAGAGAAACCCTGGTTTAATGGCTTGATCAAATTGTCTTTAGCAAGTGGCATTTGGAGTTCAACAAATTGTTTGTGCCTAAACTACTACGACCAAACCTTACCCTTTGGAGAACACTTAGCGAAATCCAGGCTAATGAAACCTGGTATTTTGGCATGTAAACCATGAAGGCGGATGCTTCTCCAATGATCCAAAACGCCTACCACTCGTGGAATTTCGCCTCCCCAGGGGAAACAATGCTAAAACGCACGAATGGTTTCCGGAAGCTGGGTGGTCTCATTTACCGAATGCGATAGATGATTCGAGTGGGTATTGATAAGACTGTGCACAGTAAAAAGATGTAGTTTTATAGTATAGCAATCAAGACATTAACATATCTCCAAAATGGGTTAAGTGAATTTAGAGCGGACAAAGCCCACACGGTTTACGTGTCAAAGACATACTTATCGGACAGCTGTTGATCGCATCATGTTCTACCGATGCCGATGAAGCCGACACGGAGGGAATCAGATGTCATTATCTTGTCACGGTCTATAAACCATTTTTGGCCGTAACAGCCAAACTCCTACGGCGTGACAGGTTCATTTTTATCCACGGAATGCCTTAATTTTTTACTTGCGAGGTGCTCGTTCATCTTTGTCGCGCAGTTGGCGGCGTGCCTCGTCCGTGATTGGGAGGTTGTGGTGCAGTTGGCGGCATGCATCGTCCGTGATTGGGAGGTTGTGGTGCAGTTGGCGGCGTGACTCGTCCGGCGATTGGGAGGTTGTGGTGCAGTTGGCGGCGTGACTCGTCCGTGATTGGGAGGTTGTGGTGCAGTTGGCGGCGTGCATCGTCCGTGATTGGGAGGGCTGTGGCGCAGTTGGCGGCGTACCTCGTCCGTGATTGGAAGGTTGTGGTGCAGTTGGCGGCGTGACTCGTCCGTGATTGGGAGGTTGTGGTGCAGTTGGCGACGTGCATCGTCCGTGACTGGGAGGTTGAACGTTCGAGCCCCTGCTGGCTAGAAACTTTCTGCCAGTTCTGCATGGAGTATGATTGTTTGTTAATAATCAGTACGTGTTGTCAGCGCAATGCAGTTTTTTATCTCATTTATTCCTTCTTAGAGAAATTCTTGACGTAGCGCTTAACTGAATTTGAAATATCTTTACTATCATAGCGTCTATAACACGATACCTACAATCATCTGCTGCTAATCTTAAGTGGAAGCAGGGAGTCTAGAACACAAGTGCATATATATATATATATATATATATATATATATATATATATATATATATAGTAGGCACTTAGTGTTGCTCACGGACAGGGGTCGGCGGGGATTCTGACCCGTGTCCTGATCGAGGGCAGGGGTCGGTGGTGAGTCTGACCCGTGTCTCGCTCTCGGGCAGGGGTCAGTGGTGACTCTGGCCCGTGTCTCGCTCTCGGGCAGGGGTCGGTGGTGACTCTGATCCGTGGTCCGTTCTCGGGCAGGGGTCGGTGGTGACTCTGACCCGTGTCCCGCTCGCGGGCAGGGGTCGATGGTGACTCTGACCCGTGGCCGGCTCTCGGGCAGGGGTCGGTGGTGACTCTGACCCGTGGTCCGTTCTCGGGCAGGGGTCGAGGGTGACTCTGACCCGTGGCCGGCTCTCGGGCAGGGGTCGGTGGTGTCTCTGACCCGTGGTCCGTTCTCGGGCAGGGGTCGAGGATGACTCTGACCCGTGTCCCGCTCGCGGGCAGGGGTCGATGGTGACTCTGACCCGTGGCCGGCTCTCGGGCGGGGGTCGGTGGTGACTCTGACCCGTGGTCCGCTCTCGGGCAGCGGTCGAGGGTGACTCTGACCCGTGGTCCGCTCTCCGGCAGCGGTCGAGGGTGACTCTGACCCGTGTCCCGCTCGCCGGCAGGGGTCGACGCGCCTGATGGCGGCCACGTACCAGGACGGCGTGTTCCTGCCGCGCTTCCTTGACACGTCCGGCGCGCCGCTGCCCGCGCCGCGGCGCGTCACCATCGCCGTCGGCGGCGAGCGTGACGCGCCGCTGCGCCACCTCACCGACGCCGCCATGCAGTGGGGCCAGTTCCTGGACCACGACCTGGCGTTGGCGCCGTCCGTGGAGCCGGACCGGCCGTGCTGCCGGGACGGCCAGTTCTCGCAGGGCGCGCACCCCTTCTGCCTGCCGATCGTGGTGTCGGCCGACGATCCGACCCACAGCCTCTGCGGCTGGACGTGCCTCGAGTTCACGCGCTCGGTGCCGGCGTGGGACGCGAGCCTCCGCTCGCTGACGCAGCTCAACACCCGCACCAGCTTTGTGGACGCCGATATGCTGTACGGCGTCAGCCGAGCCTGGACGGCGTCGCTGCGGGACGACAGGGGCGGAAGGCTGCGGGTGAACGACGGGAAGTTCCTGCTGCCCGACGACGAGCCGGAGATGTGCCTCAGCGCGCTGGAGAGCGAGCCCTGCTTCCGGTCCGGTGACCTGCGCGTCAACGAGCAGGTCAGGCCCGACCCGCGGAAGGTCAGGTGGGGTGGCCGCGGCAGCAAAATTACAGTTGCAGAAGGCCGGTGTCGCAAATGCAATAACCGGTGGAAAGTACGCGACAGTTATATCAGGTTGATACCGCAGGCCAGAGTCGCAGTTTCAGTATGTTCAGGTCGCAGGTGTGGACACCAGCTACAGCGTATCAAAGATCACATTAATGTCAGGCTAACATCAAAGCTCACGACCGCTGCTGCTGAAGATCAAGGTAATATCTCAATATCCCAGTTCAGGGTCCCAGGCCAAGACTCCTGTTCAAGGTGTAACAACAAAGTAATAAGTGAAGGCATCCTGCAATCAACCACCAAAGCGCAGTGTCCAAGCACACGTCTCCCGGGGGTAATGTGGCTATGATCTCGAGTACGGTAAAAAGCAAGCTTTTCCTTTCAAATTCAAGCCTGCTTGTCGAGGAATGCACATGGCTTTTTGGGCCGGATCTCCCATACGACATGTGCTGAAACTGCCCTGATTCATCAGCACAGAAACCACAGCAGTGAGCAGGTCAGTGCTGGTGCAGTTCAGTGCCGATGCAGGTTAGTGCTGGTGCGGGTCAGTGCTGGTGCAGGTCAGTGCTGGTGCAGGTTAGTGCTGGTTCGGGTCAGTGCTGGTGCGGGTCAGTGCTGGTGCAGGTTAGTGCTGGTGCGGGTCAGTGCTGGTGCGGGTCAGTGCTGGTGCAGGTCAGTGCTGGTGCAGTTCAGTGCCGGTGCAGGTTAGTGCTGGTGCAGGTCAGTGCTGGTGCAGGTAAGTGCTGGTGCAGGTTAGTGCTGGTTCGGGTCAGTGCTGGTGCGGGTCAGTGCTGGTGCAGGTCAGTGCTGGTGCGGGTCAGTGCTGGTGCAGGTCAGTGCTGGTGCAGGTTAGTGCTGGTTCGGGTCAGTGCTGGTGCGGGTCAGTGCTGGTGCAGGTCAGTGTGGTACCCAAACCGGAGTCGAGGATGAGGGGCACAGATCAGACCCCAGTTCAAAGTCAAAGCCAAAGCTACAGCAGCACGTGACACTTCAGCGTTACAGGTACGGTAGCAGCATGCAGTCGACAGTCAACGCTTCATTGCCGCGACCTATCCCCTCGTTAGTTTCGGCCCAGCGACGGCCTACACTTCAATCGCTTACGTCACCACTGAGTAGGGCTTAAAGGTCGCAATGTCTGCGATTGTGAGACATCACGGGCTCGGGAAGGGGATCCCTGAGGCCCTCTCCCGTCCGACGTCACTAGCTCCGGAAGGGGATCCCGAGGCACTCTCCCGTCCGACGTCACCAGCTCCGGAAGGGGATCCCTGAGGCCCTCTCCCGTCCGATGTCACTAGCTCCGGAAGGGGATCCCGAGGCACTCTCCCGTCCGACGTCACTAGCTCCGGAAGTGTTTGGCTGGGCGGCCGCACCTGCCTCTTTGCGCGTGGAACCGGAGACCAGCCGGCTCCAGGGACCTGGGAGCAGGGACCAGGAACCAGGGACCAGGGACCGGCTCCCGGGCCATACCAGCTTCATGTCTGCTCTCCGAGCACAGCCATGCCAGTTTCATATCTGCTCTCTGAGCACCGTGTGCACTAGTCCACTCGCTGACAGTCGTCTGGACCACAGTCCGTTTCCTGTCACAGCACGTCACCGTCCAGACGTCTCCCCGCCTGTAAGTTACCCGTCTACTGACCACACCCACTGCGACAGGTGCGGCTGGCCGTGATGCACACCATCTGGATGTCAGACGTCTCCCCGCCTGTAAGTTACCCGTCTATTGACCGCACCCACTGCGACAGGTGCGGTTGGCCGTGATGCACACCATCTGGATGTCAGACGTCTCCCCGCCTGTAAGTTACCCGTCTACTGACCACACCCACTGCGACAGGTGCGGTTGGCCGTGATGCACACCATCTGGATGTCAGACGTCTCCCCGCCTGTAAGTTACCCGTCTACTGACCACACCCACTGCGACAGGTGCGGCTGGCCGTGATGCACACCATCTGGATGCGCGAGCATAATCGGATCGCCTCTCGCCTGGAGAAGATGAATCCATTGTGGGACGATGAGCGACTCTTTCAGGTGTGTAGCTTCTCCGCTTTAGTGTAACCCGTCAGCACCAGGGTGTGACACCCTGCTCTGATTTGCTACGCGCTCTTAGGTGGAGTATAGTTATGGTTCTTGTATCTGGGTCATGTTGTTGAAGATTTTACGGGATAAATGGCGTGAATCTGAACGTAAATGAATCAACACGCCCGACGAAGGTGAACTGCTTCCAGCCGCATTACCGTGCAAACGCAGGTTATCAACTTCTTCCACTTAGTTTTTGTTCGATTCCGGTTCTTGTCCATTGGTTATTTATTATCGTCGTTCCACATCTAAAATGTGGATTTAGATATGAACTACACGCACGATGCTCGAACGAAACATTATTTCATAACGCTACTGCCAAATTAAGATATCTTGCAATCCGCGCCACCTAGCCAGGCCGCTTTCCCTCGTCACAGATGGCAGCACTGCGTCATTGACCCGGTCTCTAACGGCTCGCAGGAGAGCCGCAGGATCGTGGTCGCCGAGGTGTAGCACATCACCTACGCCCACTGGCTGCCGATCGTTGACCCGGTCTCTAACGGCTCGCAGGAGAGCCGCAGGATTGTGGTCGCCGAGGTGCAGCACATCACCTACGCCCACTGGCTGCCGTCGTTGACCCGGTCTCTAACGGCTCGCAGGAGAGCCGCAGGATCGTGGTCGCCGAGGTCCAGCACATCACCTACGCCCACTGGCTGCCGGTCGTTCTGGGCGCCAACTTCACGCGCTCCTACATGATTGACCAGCCCCAGACCGTCTTCGGTTACTCAAACAGGTGACGTCGGCGGGTGTCGGAGGGGCCGGCGTCAACTGTTCGGGCCGGTGACGTGAAACCGTGTTGCAATGGTTACGTCATTGAGTGTCCCAATGGTGACGTCATCAAGTGTCTCATCAGATGACATCATACAGTAAATGCCACGTCATGTCCTTGCGTTGGCTCCGATTCGTCGTGCGCTGAAGTTCAACGGCCCTTTGCACTTCGCTTGCCAGAAATCCGTGGACGTAGATTGGGATTTTCTTTCGTATGAGTGGTATTCAACTGAACTTCTCATGACAGTGCAGGTGCGTTGATGCGTTCTTTATGACGCTGATTATTTGTTCTGAGCCCTCTGGTGTCCAGAAATAATGTTCAACACAGGAATAATGTTCACATTTGAAATTCCGTGCGGGGCATACTGAATATCATGATCATGTATCCAAATCAGTGTCATACATCAGGTGAGGTCAGTCATTATCAGTATTTGTCTGCTTTCAATAAATAGTCGTTCCAAATCACGGTCCTTTTCCATTAACAGTCACGTCAAAGACGGGCATTGCCCTTTGCATACTTAAATCTCTGGTGATTTTTAAGCCAATTCGCACTTCAAATGTGTTTTTGAGGTGGTCTAGCTACTCAGCGCCCCTAACATCCACAAATATATCGTTTTCATAACGGGAGTAAATGTCATGACATAATGACAGCAAATGTTAGACCCGGTTTACCTAGATAACATCTAGCTCTGATTTACACAACCACTGGGATGTTAGGAATAATCATCAAACAGTTCCGGTCGTCGTTGCAAGATGTGTGCCGCACAGAACAACATGCAAGCATAGGTATGACGACATTTTGGAGTCAAATATCGCGGCAGGTTTCATGCATTTGCCTGCAGCCAAGCATCCTTGCAATAACCGCCAATCTGTGGCCGATGGACGTGTACCTGAGGCACATTGGCACCCTTCGTCAGATACAACGCGGGCACGGACCCCACCATCGCCACCGAGTTCTCCAGCGCCGCCTTCCGCTTCGGCCACTCGATGGTCAACGACAACGTTTTCCTGTTCTCGAACGTGCGCGCGGGTCCGTCCGGCTTCACCCATCTCAAGGATCTGTTCTTCAACCCGCGCCTGTTGTACGAGGGGGCGATGGACCTCCTGGCGAAGAGCCTGGTGGTGCAACATCCGCAGACATGCGATACCAGTTTCGCGCCTGCCCTCACCGAGCATCTGTTCCAGGTCAGGCCAGGTCAGGGTGCACACAAACCATAGAGCAAAAACACTCTGATATCCGCCTATAGAAGTGTAAAAGCGAACTGGTCGCGAGCCGTTAGCGGCATTCTCAATGGCGTCTTGTTTTCTGTCTGGGATCACAAGCACGTGTACGATATCGCAGAGCTGCTCTTTCAGAAGCCGCGTTTTATGCTGCTCCCTTCCCACCTGCGCCTCCTCATCTCATTCATGAGTCCACACATCCACACGGTCCTTCTCACTAAAACTGTGGTTCTTTAGACAAGCGGACCCTCCTCGCATACGTTCTTCTGTACCATCCGAGGACGCTTCTCCGCCCAAGCTCTCGCTAATCATCGAAGCTATTCTTCCTCTGTCGAGCTGCTTCGCCTGACCCGGGTCCTCGCTCCGAACCCGGCGTCGTTCCGCATCCGATCGCTCCCTCCGCGCCTGAACACTGCCCTGATTGCTGTTACACCGCCGGTCCTGACCAGCAATCTCTCCCGCAGAACTGAACCGCACACCAGCCGCAAGGTCTTCCTCGTTGAACTGACTCGCACACCAACCGTTGGATCTTCCCCGCTGAACTGAGTCGCACACCAACCGCAGGATCTTCCACGCTGAACTGACTCACACACCAACCATGGGATCTTTTGTGCTAAACTGACTCGCACACCAGCCGCAGGATCTTCCCCGCTGAAATGATTCGCACACCAACCGCAGGATTTTCTCTGGTGAGCTGACTCGCACACAAGCGCAGGATCTTCCTCACTGGACTGACTCGCACACCAAGCACAGGACCTTCCTTGCTGAACTGACTCGCACACTGAACACAGGATCTTACCCGCTGAACTGACCCACACACCAACCGCAGGAGCGGGGCAGCGCCTGTGGTCTGGACCTCTTGGCTATCAACATCCAGCGCGGCCGCGACCACGGCATCGCCACGTACGCCGCGGCACGCCGCTGGTGTGGTCTGCCCCCGATGCCGACCTTCAGTGACCTGACGCGGGTCATGCAGCCCGACGCGGTCATTCGCCTGGCGGGCGTCTACCGCTCGGTGGAGGACATCGACCTCTTCATCGGCGGCGTGTCCGAGAGGCCGCGGAAGGCGCCCTGGTGGGCCCCACCTTCCAGGTCAGTCGGCAGGCCGGTCCAGGAGGCATCGATTGGTGGAGGGTGGGCTTGTCGTCGCGGTCGATGGGTTGATGGAAGAAGTTAGCGGAACGACCCGAGAGGTCAGTGGACTCACAGTTCAGGGCTAAGAGTCCCGATCGCAGGTCATTGGACTCGTCTTCAGGTGCCTGCAAATCCCACGTAAGGGATCCACGTTTCAGTACAGCTAACGCATCTTACATAACGTCTTGTCACGACGCATGAAGCTTGGTACGAACATTGAGCGAAACGAGAAGAAGATGGCAAACGTACGCGTGTTTGTTCGAGCATAGCATTGTACGAACTTTGAGCGAAACCAAAATAAGATGACGGATTTATGTATGGCTGCATGCACGTAGATATGTACCTATTTAGGCCTGCTTATATGCATGTATGGATGTATGAATGTGCACATGTATAATTGTGTTATATGTGTATGCACGTTATACACATCCATGCGCGCAGGCATGCATGCATATATGTGCATACCAATTCTTATCTGCACTAAAACCATCATTAACGTATTTGTCATCACAAATTTCTCCATCCGCCGCAGTGCATTATTGGCAACCAGTTCTTCCGGCTGCGCTGGGGTGACAACTACTTCTACGACCTGGGAGGCGACGAGCGACCCTGGCGTTTCACGCCCGCTCAGCTGCGGGAGCTGCGGCGGGCCACCCTGGCCCGGGTCTTTTGCGACGCAATCGGCACGATCACCGAACTGCAGGAGGACGCGTTCCGCGCGCAAGGCGAAGACAATCCTTTTCGCAACTGCCGGGACCTGCCTGAGGTCGATCTAGATCACTGGCGGGCCGAGGGGTGACAGTGTCACCCTGGGTCACTAGCGGACAGAGGGGTGATAGTGTCAACCTGGGTCACAAACGGACGGAGGGATGGCAGTGTCACCTTAGGTCACTAGCGGACGGAGGGGTGGCAGTGTCAACCTGGGTCACAAACGGACGGAGGGATGGCAGTGTCACCTTAGGTCACTAGCGGACGGAGGGGTGGCAGTGTCAACCTGGGTCACAACGGACGGAGGGATGCAGTGTCACCCTGGGTCACTAGCGGACGGGGGGGGTGATAGTGTCAACCTGGGTCACAAACGGACGGAGGGATGGCAGTGTCACCCTGGGTCACTAGCGGACGGGGGGGTGATAGTGTCAACCTGGGTCACTAGCGGACGGAGGGGTAACAGTGTCACCCTGGGTCACTAGCGGACGGAGGGGTGACAGTGTCACCCTGGGTCACTGGCGGACGGAGGGGTGACAGGTGTCACCCTGGGTGACTAGTGGACGGAGGGGTGACAGTGTCACCCTGGGTGACTAGTGGACGGAGGGGTAACAGTGTCACCCTGGGTGACTAGTGGACGGAGGGGTGACAGTGTCACCCTGGGTCACTAGCGGACGGAGGGGTGACAGTATTACCCTGGGTCACTAGCGGACGGAGGGGGGACAGTGTCACCCTGGGTCACTAGCGGACGGAGGGGTGACAGTGTCACCCTGGGTCACTAGCGGACGGAGGGGTGACAGTGTCACCCTGGGTGACTAGTGGACGGAGGGGTAACAGTGTCACCCTGGGTGACTAGTGGACGGAGGGGTGACAGTGTCACCCTGGGTCACTAGCGGACGGAGGGGTGACAGTGTCACCCTGGGTGACTAGTGGACGGAGGGGTAACAGTGTCACCCTGGGTGACTAGTGGACGGAGGGGTGACAGTGTCACCCTGGGTCACTAGCGGACGGAGGGGTGACTGTCACCCTGGGTCACTAGCGGACGGAGGGGTGACAGTGTCACCCTGGGTCACTAGCGGACGGAGGGGTGACAGTGTCACCCTGGGTCACTAGCGGACGGAGGGGTAACAGTGTCACCCTGGGTGACTAGTGGACGGAGGGGTGACAGTGTCACCCTGGGTGACTAGTGGACGGAGGGGTGACAGTGTCACCCTGGGTCACTAGCGGACGGAGGGGGGACAGTGTCACCTGGGCGCCTGTCGGTACTGACCTGACTCATTGGTAGGGAGGCGCAGGCTTTATTCGAGAATGTTAGGAAAGGCCAGGTGCTAAAACATGTGTCCGTGTCTCACTTGGCGTAGGATTGAAGGAATACAAGAAAGCACTGCTGCATGTTTTAGATATCTTCAGTATGGTACACCTCTGGGGGAAGAGAAGAGCCTGGACGGTGGTTGTGTCGGCATTTGATTGGTAGAACACGTTTTCCATCGACGTGCGATAAGTACCACAGGATGTCCCATTACTTGGCAGGACGACCATGTAGGCCTCGTGGCCTGGGAAACATGTTTGTTCGTCCCACGTGCGAGATTACTCCTACTGGCCATTCGTCAAATGTGTTCTTGTATCTTAGTGCCCTGTTTTGCGTTTGTTAAAATGCGGTGGTTTTTTCGTACTGTTCAGCCACCACAGTTTTCTGACACGTGAAGATGGGGCAGTTGCTTGCATTCCCGTGAAAGCTGCTACTTTCCAGACCATAGACGGCTAAAGACTTACAGCCTCGCGTCTCCCTGGCCTGTCACATCAGCTCTCACGCCACACTCACGGCTGCCGCCAACAGACCGCCGGCGATTACTGGGGTGGAATCCGGACGGTGAATACAGGGTGGCCGTGTGGCAGCCAGGTCTCGCTTTGTGTCGACCTAAGTGTGAATACATTGTAGTCCATACGTGGCCCTAGCCTCCGGACTTGCGGCCCAGCATGCAATAACACCACACGCCGGTACTTTGCTCATTAAGGTTTGCTGACGGTCGTCGGTGGTCAGCTGGCTATGCGCTGAGTCCAAGGTCAGCCGGTCAGGAGGCCGCGCGCGGCAGCTGGACGGCTCCGGTCAGGTCATGGGTCACGGGTCGTTCCCCTCCGCGCAGGTCGTAAGCGTGGTCAGCGATGGCAACTCTTTATGTGGTCAAGTTGCCATGACCATCTAAATGTTACCTTGGTAAGGCGCCCATGGTACTAGTGATAGGTAATTCGGATTGCGCCAGACGCCGAGTCAGACGGATGAAGATAGCGGGAAGTGACGGTAAAACTATGGCGCAGGGCCAGACTAGCGGACTGTCTACGTCGGTGGAGGGGCTGGAGCGGCAGCTGGACACCCTATCTGAGGGACAGAAGCGTGACCAGTGGACGAGCTGGAGCGGCAGCTGGACACCCCAGCTGAGGGACAGAAGCGTGACCAGTGGACGAGCTGGTGCGACAGCTGGACACCCCAGCTGATTGACAGAAGCGTGACCAGTGGACGAGTTGGAGCGGCAGCTGGACACCCCAGCTGAGGGACAGAAGCGTGACCAGTGGACGAGCTGGAGTGACAGCTGGACACCCCAGCTGAGGGACAGAAGCGGGACAGCCCTGAGTCCGGCGGTGCTTTACCTATGGCTTACAGGAGAACAGGAGAACTACGAACCACCATAGTCCGTCCCAAACCGCACTTTGAAAGGATATCTGCGTTATAAAACCATGGGTATATTATGAAATATATATATATATATATATATATATATATATATATATATAAATCACATGGAGACCCCTGCAATAATGTAAAATTCCCCTGAGAAAAGTAACAAGGATACTCAGCACCCTACTCAAGGAGCTGTACCAGTTGCGCAGAAGCTTTCGCTGAGTGCTAGACCCAACCGAAAAAACGGATCTAAAACATAGAAAAACGTGTAAAGCATGCTGACAGTGAAGGAGAGAAGAGAACTTCTCCAAACTCCAGAGAGCTTCTGTGCCATCGGCAAAGTGAAAAGGCTCTGAATGCTGGAGAGGAGGGTGCAGAAATCGGCGGTCACTTCCCGTGCCTCGTCTTGGCGTGGGTGGGGGTGCCCCTCCCCCCACCCGGCCATGTGTCTGGGACCGCCGCTGCCTCCACTGCCTCCCGGCACTGGAGCGGACGGGACGTGACCGGCCCGCCTCGCGCGCGAGGTCGGCCCAGACCCAGACCGCCGCTCCTTCCACCGCTTCCTAGCGCTGGAGCGGACGGGGCGTGGCCGGCCGGCCGGGCGCGAGGTCGGCCCAGACCCAGGCCGCCGCTGCCTCCACTGCTTCCCAGCGCTGGAGCGGCCGGGGCGTGACCGGCCGGCCGGGCGCGAGGTCGGCCCAGACCACCAGGCGGGTCACCGGTGACGCCATGGACGATGCGTTACAAGGTGGCACAAGTATAGCGCTGACACTTGGTGCCTGCTGGCCTGGGTGGTGCTGGTGCAGGAGGCAGTCGGGCTTTAACGTGCATTGGTGGCAAATTTGGAGCTTCTTTGGCCTTTTAGAATACGGGATTAACAAATTAGTCACGTTCTTAACACAAAAGCTTTGCGAACAAACATAATGCTCTGTTTAACAACTTATGATCAACATCAAAATGTAATCTGACTTGCCAAAAGATGACATAAAACAATGAGGGTACCGAAAGTGGAATGGTTCAGCTACGCGCCTGGGAAACCAGAGAAACGGGTTTCAATTCCCCGCGATACCTGCCCTTCCTGTCAGAGTGAGGGGGAGGCGAACCCATATAGCCTTAGCAGCTGAGTGCGTCTTAAATTACCAATGACACCCACACCCACACCCACACCCACACCCACACCCACACCCACACCCACCCACACACCCACCCACCCGCCCCACACCCACACCCACACCCACACACACACACAAACACACACACACCACACACACACCACACACACACACGCGCGCGCACACACACACACACACACACACACACACACACACACACACACACACACACACACACACACACACACACACACACACACACACACACACACACACACACACACACACACACACACACACACACACACACACACACATACACACCACATAGTTGCTGCCAACGTCGACCATTAATCGCCAAACGGCCTCCCAGAAACTGGTTTAAAGGATGCTCGTGTTTTTACGCCAACAAGGTGTCTACAACATTACTGGAAAAAGGCTCTGTAGACCGACGGACAATTAACATTTCCAACCGACACTGCTCCCGCAAGACATCGCGTGCATATGATCGCACACGCCCGACCGATACTGCTCCCGGAAGACATCGTGTGCATATGACCGCACATGCCGCGCACGACAGCATGTATTTCACATTTGACACCGATCGTTACAGTACAGCCACTGTGAAGGGCCCGCGACCGTTGATTGAGATCTTGTGGGGGTCCACGGAGCACAGCGGATGCCGTGATCAGGCGACTGTGCTGTATTGGCAGAGAAGCAGTCCTATCGGTCGCACATTGTCACATTCCTCGCGTATGTTAGACATGCTTCCCAAGCCGCGGTAGGCTGTTCACCACGTGACATGTCAAAAACTCACCGCCCAGTGTTCGCTGGGACGAAACCGGTCTCGTCGGCTCACGGACGGCCTGCATTGCCGGCCGATGCCGCTCCCGCGAGGATGTTGTAAATTTTAATGGTTTGATCTTGAGACTGACGAGTCTCAAAGTTTAGTGCCGCTAACGACTGGCAAGCTGGCCCGGTTGGTCATGACGTCCGGGTGAGTCAGTGGTTTCCTGGCAGTAAGCACATTGCCTTCCCACACATTTCACCAGTCCCGTCTTGCAGTTGGCTGTGCCCCCCACTCGGGCAAATAAACATGCTTGGTATATTGTGATGGCGTCTACATACTTCAAACGATATTCGGTCCCGCAGCGGCACCACTTATTATGGCTAAGAGGGCAACAAACCTGCGGAGATCCGCAAGTATTGATTTTCAAGCACTGAAAGTTTCTTCTATCTATTAAAACAGGGATATCAATTTGCAGAAGTGATTGGGTTAGGGATAGCAAAGGGCCCACTGAATTCTCGTCGCCTCAAGGTGTGAATGTCAACATATTTAGTCCACTCTGATTGAACGAAGCACAACTTGCAACTTTTGTCCTTTTTCAAAAACTCGTTTGTTAATCAGTATGGTAGCCATGGCTAATAAAATATTGTTCAGGAAGACTGACTTGTGTAAGCCATAGACTTTTCCCTTATCTTTTAAAGG